ATCATCATCATCATCATCATCATCATCATCATCATCATCATCATCATCATCATCATCATCATCATCATCATCATCATCATCCCACTCCTCCTCCTCCTACTCCTCCTCCCCTTCCTCCTCCTCCCCATCCTCCTTCTCCTCCTCCTCTTCCCCATGGAACGGCGTCGCGTCCCGAGGGCCCGGGAGAGGGCTCCGAAGGCCGAGCATTGCTTCCAGGGGCCCGGGGAGGGTCGGAGGAGTCCCCAAGGCCGCCAGCCTCCCACTGGCGCCGCCTCAGGCCAGGCGCCGAGGAAACCGAACAATGCCGACACCGCAACTCCCCGCCAGCCGATACCGAGGCTCCTGCAGCCAACGTCGGGGCCTCGCTGGCGCCGCGCCCGCTGGGAAGGTAAGAGGAGAGACCAACCCCTCCTCCTCCTCCTCCTCCTCCTCCTCCTCCTCCTCCTCCTCCTCCTCCTCCTCCTCCTCCTCCTCCTCCTCCTCCCCTCCTCCTCTCCTCCTCCTCCTCTCCTCCTCCCTCCTCCTCCTGGTCCTCCTCCTCCTCCTCCTCCTCCTCCTCCTCCTCCTCCTCCTCCTCCTCCTCCAGCTTCGTGCCTCTCCTCTGGTGGTGCTCTCCGTGCGCGTCGCCGGCTTCCCCACCGCGCGCGCGCGCGCCTCGCGCGCGAGGCGCACGTGCGGTGCGCGAGGTGGCCAGAGCGAGGGAAGGCACGTGCGGCGCGCAGGTGGCGGGCAGCGGCACGGACTCCCTGCCCAGGAGCGTTTACACGTTAAGACATACATAGAATTCGTTTACATGTGTTGAATATATGTTGATGGCCATCCATTGTTGTAGTATCTGTTCTGGCTACTTTGAATAGGGGAGCAAGAAGTGGCATAAACAGAAAAACTCAGAGGTCCGCGCGGACTTCTCGGATCGGCGCTGACCCCCCTCCCTGGCGCGCGGAGCGCGCCAGCGGCGGCGCCGGAGGCGCCGCCAAGGGGCCCCAGCGCCAATCCGAGAAATCCGCGCGGACCTCCGAGTTTTTATGTTTATGTCACTTGTTGTTCCCCGATTGAAATGTCCAACATACCCCGAGCCTCTCCATATTACCTTCGTTCTAACCCTCGGCTGCACGCCACGAGTGACCCTGGGCAGGAGTGGCCTCTGGTGCGCGGCCCTCGGGGGCCGCAGGGGAGGGCCGAGTGCAAGCCACCCGAGCGCGGCACTCCAGCGCTGGCGGGACCCCTGTGGGCCCGCGCTGGAGGTCCTTTCGGCGAAGGGTCACTCTTTCGGCTGCACGTAAGAGTGACCCTGGGCAAGAGTGACCTTCGGTGCACGGCTTTTCGAGGGGCGCGAGGAGGCCAAACACAAGCGCGCAAGACGCTACTATCGCACCGAGCACGGCGATCGGGGGACCCTGGTGAGCGCGCACCAAAGGTCACTCCGGCGAAGGGTCACTCTTACCTGTAGTCGACTCTTACGCGTAGCCAATGCTATGGCAGAGGGATCCTCCCAGGGGCCACCCGGCCTCCGCGTGGTCGGGGCCGTAGAACGCCTCCTGGACGCCGAGCGCCCTCTCGAGCAGCTGCCTGCTGACCCCGGCTGCCGGAGGAGGCCACAGCGCCAGGGGCGGGCTTCCTTGCTGCTCCTCCTTCCTCCCTCCTTCCTCCTCCCTCCTCCTCCTCCCTCCTCCTCTCTCTCTCTCTCCTCCAACCTCCCTTCTCCCTCAAGTAAAGATAAGGATGTGTACAGACCTTACGCCTCCCGAGCTGCACCTGGAATCGCTTCCGGAGCAGAGGTGAGACAGTGACGTCTGCGAATACAGTCGGGGCGCTGACCTAAGGAAGCCTAAATAAGGAACGAGGCCCCTTTTCTCCAGAAGTTGAACTTCGATTTCCCTTCGAAAACCAAAAAGGAAAACGTGGGGCAAACTGTGAAACAATTAAGGAGCACGGAGCCCCTACCCAACGAAAAGAGTTCCTTCTTCAGCGCCCCGACTGTATGTCCTTACACGTTGGCTCGAGGCCGACAAACCGACTCTAGTTGTGTGCTCTCGCTGTCCCGACCCTTCACCGCCCGCTGCTATGGCACCGCGCGCGCCGTCGGGGCCACGAGACCGAAGGGGCCCAGGGACACACAAAGAAACAAATAACAGAATCCCCCATATTTCCCCATGTTTTCTGAATTTCTGTCTGCCCGCCCACTTACCATATTTCCCATATTTTCTGGGGAATCGAGGATTAATTGTGTCTGTGCGTTTCTTTTCCTCCTGAGAGACGTGCAACACCACCAGCGCCTCCACCGAGGGTTGCGACATCCAGGGGAACCTCAAGGCTTGCTCCTCGAAGGGGCCCCCGAGGACACGAACGGCAGCCGCCACAAGTTCGCGCGCAGTGCATCTCCCGTGGACGAGGCGCTCAAGATGCTTCGTACGCTTCTTACTTTGTCGAGCAGTGCGTGCAGACATGGCTCATGGTGGTCCCTTTCTCCGAGTCGGGCCGCCCGTTGGACGCCTTCACGAAGAGTGTTCCTCCTGGCTGGCGCGCAGGAAACCCGAATATCCGATTCGACGATATGCACAGCTTCTTCGTCTCTGGTGGCGCCGAACAGATGTTGGAGAGAGTGCCTGTGGCCCGGCAATGGCTGGCAGGCTTCGCTGCGCAGCGTTCCAGCTGGCCAACACTGCCAAGTCGAATCGCTTCGACCTGCCCGCTGGCATGATGAGATTGATGGTTGGCGATGAGATTTTAGCGCAGCCGAGTCATGAAGCATGGCATAACGGAGCAGGAGAGTACTGCCCTGCCGAACCAGCTAGTGCAACATACTTCTCAATGCATTGCAGAAGGAGTTCGGCATGCAGGCTCAGGAGATGAGCATCCAGTCAAAAGACGCTTTCTTCACGCACCATCGTGGAAGCTTGAGTCTCAAAGATATCTTACTATGTGGCGCATGACGTATGACGAACGCGTATGAACTCGTATCTTCTTCGTACTTCAGGACTTTCAGATCGGCTGAAGGATGATATCAAGCTCAAGTTCGACAGCAGCCTGGCTCGCTTCGAAGACATGATGGCGTTGCTCCAGCAAATGGCCCATGCAGAGACCCAATCTGGCTCCAGCACTCCTGAGATGGCCGGTCAGTATTGGGGTGGGCATGACCACGACTGGCACGAAGATGAACATGACGACGAATGGTAGAGAGCTACTGTGATTACTATTCAGGGGATTGGTGGAGTGACAGTGGTGACTTCTCTGAGGATGATTGGTCACAAAATATACCAGGTGCGGCTGCACCAACCAAATCAGGCTCGACATCATCAGCAGCAACAGGATCAGAAGACTAATATGGAAAGGCAAGAACAGCAAAGGTCGTGGAAAAGTCAAAACGGATGTACCTCGTGCGGCTCAAAGTTTCATGATACAAAAGATTCTCCGCTGAATCACAAGGACTCCCCCAAACGAGCAAGACGCAAAAACAGTTCATCACACTATTGCAAATGATACGGCAGCAGTGGCAAAAGAAAGAATCGTGGGAAATGAGAAGATAAGTATCGCAGTCAATCAAAAGAAGGATCAAAAGGGTGAAAACGATCACGCAAAGGAAGAGGAAAGTACCGCAACAGTGGATCGCTTTGGAGACCATGGTAAGAAAGATGGTTATGACCACGACGACTCAAAGTATGGATATGAATATGAAGGATCACGAGTGCCCGCCTACATGAACTACAACTGGTTCCCCCCGATCAGGACCATGATCGGCAGGTAACGCTCGGAACTCATATTAGCGAAAGCTCTCATTGCTTCGAGCTTGTGCGTCAGACTCCTGGAATTGCCCTGCGAAGACCAGCTACAGAAGTAAAGTCATCATGCGGGAGCGCCGCCTGCCGCCGTTCCATCCGGCCGCACCTCGAGAGAACGGCGTCTCCCAGAGCAGGCCCCGTGTGGCCAGGTTTCCGGGCAGGTGCGAGAAGCTGCCGATCCTTGGACGGCGCACGTCTCCGCGTTCAGCCCGTGCTACCCACGCGACCCAGGAGGAGATGGGGGCCGGCTGCGCCTCAGGTGGCCCAGCCGCCCCCTGCCTGGAAGGACCCCTGCGGCGAGTGCTGGAGCTCCCCGGCAAAACTGCAAGAAATGAGGTGGTCATGGCAGGAGACAGCATCCCTGATAATCCCGCCCCGAATCAGTTCCCCCTCCCGAAGAGCCGGAGTAGAGGGGAGAGGGGAGGTTACAAGTTACAACCCCATACACACAACATCCAACCCCTCTTTGCGCGCTGGCAAGCAACGACGACGAACACGGCAACGG